TTTGGAACATTCACATAAAGCTTCATGCAATCTTTTAATCTAATTCTAAGAGTTTGTTTAGATCAGGTTAGTAAGGTTAGGGTTAATCAAAGAGCTTGTTTTGGTTAATTAATGTGGTGAATGGAAAGTGTTAGAGCTTATTAACACTTTCAAGTACCAACTTAGATTGAGCTGAACAAATATTGTGTCATCCTTGAGTCACATTGCTAAGTTGTCATACATGAAGTTGGAGTCCTTACAAAATATGAATTTATTTCACTCATTTAGCTGACTACGTGTCTTTTTAATTTGTTTGTTTAGTCATTGCACTCTAACCCCCCCCCCCCCCCCTTTACTGTTGGTGACCATAGTACCTTGCGCAAAGAGGTATAGACTAATTATCCCGTGTCTCTGTGGATCGACCCTACTTGCCTTGTACTACCTTTTAGTGCAATATAGTGGTATTCTTTTGGAGTATATCATACCCCTATCATTTGTTGGGTTTGACATGCCTAAAAAATTGGCACCGTTGCCGGGGACACATTGTTACTAATTGTTTATGCCTAGATCTTTTCGTACAGGTACACCATTGTCAATTGACTCAAAGATAGAGAAGACTGCAAAGAAGTTAAGGAAGCAAGCCAAGCTTCATAAGAGGCGACCGGATTCTGGGACTTCTTCATTATCTAACCTTCCAATAATCAACATTTGGGAGGACATACCCCTCTCAAGTGTGTCCGCATCCAAAATAGAAAGCCTATCACTCTCATCTCAACCATCCTCACCCAAAAGTACCAATCCACCTACTTATAATATCCAAAACACTACTCATACTATGGGAGATAACAATGGCGGGAATCCACCTCCAAACCCACCACCCGAACAAACTCTCTGTCAATGGTCAAGGCAATAGGTTACTCAACAAACTCTTTGCATCACATATCCAGCAACCACCAACCTAGAACTGAAATTCGGGCTCATCCACTTACTCCCAACCTTTAGAGGCCTGGAAAATGAAGATCCTCACAAGTTTCTAACTGAATTTCATGTGGTATGTCTTGGCATGAAACCACACAATGTTATAGAGGATCAAATCAAGCTTAGGGCATTCCCCTTCGCAGTGCAAGATGTAGCCAAAGACTGGCTTTATGACCTCCTACTAGGGACGGTAACTACTTGGGTAGATCTTGCACGCCTCTTTTTGGACAAATACTTTCCGAAGATGAAAGCTTCAGCCCTACGGAGGGAAATCATTGGAATCAAGCAACACAAAAGAGAAGCTTTTCACACATATTGGGAGAGATTCAAGAAATTGTGTGCCCGTTGTCCAAAGCACGGAATTACCGAGTACCAATTCCTCCAATATTTCATTAAAGGAATGACTCCAATGGAAAGAAGGCTTCTTAATGCTTCAGTGGCAGATCGTTACCCGACAAGACTCCAACCTAAATCCGCAACCTAATCAAGAACATGGCTGAAGACTCTAAAAATTCAAGCCATGATGAAGAATGGTACAAGGATGCACCAGAGGTGTAAAGGAAGTCCAGACTCCTCAAATTGAAGCCCAATTGTCCGAGCTTACGAAAGTGGTAATGATGCTAGCTAAAGGCAAGGGTGTGCAACCCACACTCCACCCTTGCGGTATTTGTACTCAAGTAGGTCACCTAACTGACATGTGCCCTCAACTTCAAGATGAGGATTATGAAGAAGCAAAATCCGTGGGAGGTTATTGCGGATCAAATCAAAGAGGATACGATCAACCACGGGGTGATTAAAGATGGAACAACAATCAAGGTTGGGGAGGAAATCAACAGGGAAGTTATCAACCAAGTCAACCAAATCAATACCAACAATGACCACCTTTTCCACCACAGAACTTTCAGCAAAGGCAACCACAACACCCTACTCAACAAGCGGGTTCATCAAGTATGTCCTTAGTGGACATAGTAAAGAGTTTGGATACTAGCACCCAAACCTTCCAACAAGAGACAAAAGCAAGTATAAAGAAATTAGAGCAACAAGTTTCACAGCTTGCTATTTACGTAAGCAAACTAGAATCTCAAGTAAAGTTGTCCGCCCAAATTAAAAAGAATCCGAGGCACAACGTGTGTGCCATCACTTTGAATGGCAGAAAGAGATACGATGGTCCAAAAGTGTCGGTTGATCATGAAGCAGAAGAAATAGTGGTCGAAGAGGCAAAAAAGACGAAAAGAAGGAAGATAAAACAACCGCAAAGAAGCCCTTCGTCACTGAGCCTAAGGCTACACCTGCTCCATTCCCCGAACGATTAAAGAGAATGAAGAAAGAATGAGAGGAGAGTGAGATTAAGAAAATGCTCTAGAAAGTTCACATTAACATCCTACTCCTTGAGGCCATCAAGCAGGTACCTAGATATGCAAGGTTCCTTAAGGATCTTTGTGTATCCAAAAAGATATTGAAAGGAAGCCAAATCGTAAAAGTTGTGGAAAATGTATCTGCTGTTTTGAAAAAAAGGATTCCCTTAAAGTGCAATGATCCCAATGTCTTTACTATGCCATGCAAGTTGGGTAATCTTTATGTACCTCGAGCCATGCTCAATCTAGGTGCATCCATAAATGTCCTACCATATTCTATCTTTAAATCAATTGGTGTAGGAACATTGAATAATCCGGTGTAATCATCCAACTTGCCGACCGGTCTTTGGTACATCCAAAAGGTGTATTGGAGGACGTGTTAGTGCAAGTTGATGAATTTGTTTTCCCGGCTGATTTTTATATCTTAGATATGGGAGATGATGACTCTCAAAGGTCAAGTTCCATACTTTTGGGTAGACCTTTCCTTAAAACTTCTAAAACAAAAATTGATGTCTACAATGGAACTTTAAGTATGGAATTTGATGGTGAAGTTATCAACTTCAATGTTTTTCAAGCAAAAAAGGTTCCTTCCGATGTTTAGTCTGTCAATCTTGTGAATTTGATCCAGCCCGCAACTAAAAAGGGCTTAAATTTGTTTAACAATGAATTTCTAGAGTTAGTTTTGTCACAAAAACTAGACAGGGACAAAGCCAAGGAGATTGCCAAGGAGTTCGATATAAATAATGAGGTGCTGGAGATTTTGGGGAATATTGATGACAAGAAGAATATGAGGACTGATGATATGAAACCCAAGCTACCTACCACAAAAGCCAAATTCCTTCCACCGGTGGAACAAGCACAAGATTCGGTAGCAAAAACTCCACCGGACCCTTCAAAGCTAATACATGTCGAGAAGGATAGCACTCACCCACTCATCAACTCAAATAAACTATCAAAGAAGGAAGAGAGTGAGTTGATAACCATGCTGAACAAATACCAAAGAAGGTTTAAGTGGATAATCTCTGATATTAAAGTGTTAAGTCCTTTTTGGTTTATGCGCAAAAAGAAAGCCAAAGGAAGGTAAAGGTACTGTTGAAGGAGGTGGCAAGAAGATTGATGTGTTGGACAGGACCACATACTTAGAACGAAGCATATTCAAGGGTAAAGTTGAGCCAACGACTTAAAACAAGGGCAGCTTACCGGGATGCAACCCGGGGTATTTCTGTGTTTTATTTAAAAACAATTTCCATTTCTTTGAGTTTTTGGTTTCTAATGTTCCAAATGCATTTAAATATGATTTAAAATCACCAAACGAACCTTGGGATATAAAAACATTTCATTTGAATGAGAGAGAATTTTTTTGGTTTCAAAAAGTGGAAGTCGCAATTAGAGGGGTACACGGCCCGTGTTCCTCTTGCCTTACAATGAACACGGGTTGTGTTCATCAATGGCAAGCAGTGTTGCAGTCAGAGAGGTACACGGCCCGTGTCATTTTTCCTTTATGACAAACACGGGCCGTGTTCAACCAATTCTCACATATTTTATCCCAACACGGGTCGTGTCAATTTGCCGTTATGCCCAACATGGGACGTGTTCGCGCATTAGATTTGGTGGTTTTGAATGCTAAAAATCGGGGTTTTGCCCCATTCTTCCACACACTCATTCCAAAACAGCCCCTTTCCCCCAAGAAAACCCCAAGGTCCGATTTTCATCAAAAATCCTTTGATTCTTCACGATTTTGGCTTAAAACTTCAAAAAGGTTTGATTTTCATCTTCCCCACTTCATCTCCTACATCTAATACATCATCTTATTGCATTTTCATGGTGGGTTTGGGGGTTTTGACAAACCCTAGGTCCGAAAATTTCTTAAAATTTTGGTTTTTTTGTGCTTATTTCTTCTTATAGGCAAGCTTGGGGAGGTTGAAGACAGTCTTTCTCACTAACTACAATACATTTCCACTAACGATTCGGTACATTCTTTCCTATTCTTCACTTGTGGAATATGTGTTCTTTAGGTCAAATTGCATGTATATGTGTTCATTTTGGACTTGACAATCACTTTGAAATCATTCAAAACTGAGTTTCCCATGAATTTTTTGTGGCAAAACTTCAGTTGACCGGACCTATCAACAGTTGACTTTTTGACCGGTTGATTGGTTAACTTTTCATCTTTGCCTCATCTTTTGCATATGGAGGGTGAACCTTCTAAATGACCGAGGCATACTAAGGCCTTGACCCATCGTTATAAAACCCTATCACCGCGATCTAGGTCTCGTCACCCCCGCCTCAATCCCCACCCAATCCGGCCCATGGTGGTATGGTTTGTCTTGGCCCTATTCAAGTTGCCAAAGTTGAGGCCTTTCTTCAACGCGCGCATACTACCCAATAATTTGCGCATGTGCCATCTCTCCATGAGTTGCACATCTACAACCAAGTCCACATCTTGTTCCAGAACATTGAATGGAAAGGGTTGTTAAGGGTCCACAAGCTCAGCTACAAAGCTCCAACAACCGAGTTTTTGTTTTCAGTCTATTTAGACCATAGTGTCCTTCGTTTCCAGCTTATGAACCAATATCATGCCTTTTCCCTAGACCAAATCAATGCCATAGTTGGGGATCTCATAGAACACACATTTGTCCCCAATGATCCAATCCCAAATACAGTGATCTTACGTGGTGGACCGATCTTATGCGTCAGCTTCCCTATGTCTCAAGTTCTGCTAAGGCCTCATCTCTCTTCCACCCTGTGATGAAAGTGGCCCACAAGATTATTGCTTCACTTGTCGTCTCTAGAGAAGAACGAAGTACCATTAGCACCCTTGAGCGATTCTATGCTATGGCCCACCCAGACGATAATCTCATTTCTCACTATGGCTCATTCCTGTGTAACAAACTCACCCGCCTCAACACATCACGGTCCGGCAAAATATCTTAGGGTGGCATTGTTAGTTTATTTACCAAAAGCGCTCCAGTCCGAGCCCCATACCCCGGAATTTAACAACCACTTCCCAGTGAGACCTGCCTTTCCACGAGAATCCTTGAGTCTATGAGAATGTTTCAAGTAGAGGACAGGAACCATAATTGGACCATGGGTCAAAACCACGATCCACGACTCCTCATCACCCCGGAAAATTAGGATATCCTTGCCCTCAGGTGACCCAACAATTTCACCGACTGGAAAATCACATTGTATCTCTTCCCCTATTCCTTCTCCGAAGAAGAAGAGGAAGATGCAGAGAGTGACGAGAGTGGCGGGGAGGCACCACAAAATTCTCCTCCCAAGGGCGGTGCCAGCTCATCCCATCAGGCTGGACACCCATCCTATCACCAACAACATATGGATCAATTCCAATCGAGCCATACCCACCTCGACACTTACAATCAAGATCTCGCGAGCCTGACTCAAAGTCTCTCTTCTTTCACCACTCAATACACTCGTGATCAAGAGCGCCAGCATAAACATGAGGAGGACTTTTGGGCTTGGACCCGAAACTCCGATTACTATCCTTATCTTGCTCCTCCTCCACAATAGGTTGTTCCGCCCTCTCCAAGCATCGGGGACGCTGCTTATCTTTAAGCTTGGGGAGGGGTAGAGTTGTACATTAGGTGCATTTCTTACTCATCCATACCTTTCCTTAAAAAAAGAGTTTTTATTTCAGGTTTTTGCATTTTATCATTTTCATATACCATCATCATCATTAAAAAAAAAAGGAGTACGAGATGATGACATTCTTTACATGCAATGTCTCCATGAAAGTGGGAAATCGAGAACTCAAATGAAAAAAAGAATTACTAAAGTGATCGGATAGTTACCGGAAGCGTAGAATCAACTATCATAACTAGGGGACCTGAACACCGTGATTTGAGACCCCAGCCTTAGATAAAAACAATAGCATACTGAAATGTTTTTGTGGGCGGTAATAACAACTTTAGGATGATTTGCTTCTGAATGTTTAAAAAGAATCTTTATCGCCGACTCTGGACCCACAAAACACGGACCTATTTGTTGACACGCGTTACCCCCGCGGTAATAGAGAGCTTAAGTATCAGATCCACACAATCAAGAAAGAAGAATGGGTACAACTGTCATATGTAGTACCGAAAAAAAAAAGATGCACTTAATCGAAGAAACTTTTAGAAATTCAAAAGTTGATTGAAGAATTCAAAGCTCAAAACAAAGATACAAATCCAAGTCAATCAAAAATTAAAAGCCGCCTCAAAGTTAAATCAGGCGAATGAAGAATTGTGTGAGATGATACTTGTGGGATCTCAAAAAAGTGAAAGCATAGGTGTTGGGCCCCTTCGGGTGGGCTCACTGTTTCAGCGAAAGCTGATTCGCCGTGACGGGTTCATAAGGATGCGTCGATTCTGATTCTTGACCATCTAGTCTTAAGGACATGAGATCCGGACTCTGTTAGTTTCGGATATAAAGCTAATTAACGTATAAAGCTTAAATAAAACTATGGTTGGGTTATTGGTTTACATAGTTTCGGGTCTTCCTCACTTTGGGAGTCTATGATATGTGGAAGGAAGCATGATGGTTGCCTAGGTATTAATGATTGGAGCCACATTGATATAAAGCCTGATCATACTTATATAGATGATTTACTTGTGTTCTAAACTTCCTTTTTGGTACATTTTGCTTCTTTAGTGCTATTGTACATATTTTTTTTTTCTTTTTCATGGTTTTTCATTGCATGCATTCATTCCTAGCCTTTAGGATCTTTCTATCCCTTTTTGCTCTATGTTTCTTTTCGCCATCTAGAAATCATCCTGTTTTTTCTGATTCTTGTTCTTTATTGGGGACAAGAAAGGTCTAAGCTTGGGGAGATTTGTTAGGTGCAATTTGTGCACCTTTTTGCACACCTTTTAGTCCCATTTCATGCATCTATTTAGCATAATTGTCCTTCATTAGTCTTGCATTTCATCATATTTCATGTTAGTCTCTAGAACAACCTTATTTTCATATTTTCATGTCTTTTTCAGGTAAACCGGAGGTTGGAACACGCTTTGGGAGGTGTCGGGAAGTATTGGTGAAGATTTCGGGATGATCGGGCGAAGAACGAAAAGGTTGAAAAAATCAAGTTTAAATTCGGAGTCAGAGGGGTACATGGGCCGTGTTGGATTTACACTACAAAATCAACACAGGCCGTGTTGACCAAAATGGGAGTTATTGACCATGCTGAACACCGGCTGTGTCAGTTTTACTCTAAGTCCAACACGGGCCGTGTTCGACCCAGAAACCAACTTTTGGTAGTTTTTCCTATCTTTCATATTACGAGTTAAGGGCCATTTTTACACACACACAACATATCAGAGCACATTTGGTGAGGGGGTTTCAAAGGTTTTTGCAAGGTTTTAATCAGTAATCTTTTGGAAACATTATTTCTCGTATTTGTAATTTGTAATTGCACATTACTTTTATCTTTTAGACTTGGGATCTTGTTCTAGCCATGTGTGGCTAGAACCCTAGTTTCTCCAATTTCATATTTTGACTTCTTAGTAGTGACTTCAATCATATGACATGATGTTTGTTTTCAATTTCTATCTAATGAATTTGATTTTTCTATAATCGAATGTTTGATTCTAATTGTGATTCTTATATATTGGCCATTTGATTGAGGGTTAGGCCATTCAAGTTATCTCTTTTACAAAATCCATAATTATTTTGTGAAATTGAACAAGTAACAAGCATTAAATTAATCTTTATTGAATGAACTTAGTGTAAATCTTATTCATACACTTTTACACTTTCACACCCCGAAACCGATGGCAGAAACGTTCCGGGGCGGAGGACATCATGTATATCGCAACCAATGTACATAGTAAGCATAGTAAACACAAAACATTACATTACATAGAAATATTTACATTGTTTGAACAAAGAGTTACAAAGGTTATATATATATATATATATATATATATATATATATATATATATATATATATATCATATGAAAAAAAGTTAAGACGAGTCTTCTATACGCTCCGTCTTCTCCAAAAGATCACGATGTACCTGTCTAATGTGGACCTGAGAATACAAGTAGTTTGAAAATCAACATAAAGCTGGTGAGTTCATAAGTGATTTAGTTTTTGTAAAAGAACAGATTAATTTCCTTTGGTTTTCCGAAATAGTCAATATCCAAGAAAAACCCATATTTTCTTATAAGTAAAGCTTAGTTATTCGTTTATCTTACAGTTTGATTTGGAACATTTCGTTATCCCAGGAAAAATCCTTATTTTCCTATATGTGAGTTAGTTATTCGTTTGGAATGCTATGCCATAGTATCTATCATACTTGTCGTATTAGTTATGTACTCTGATATCCTAGTTGTCCTACACTCGAATGTATCCAAAGATGTACTTTCATATTCGTATTTGTATTCGTATTCGTATTCATATTCGTATTCGTATTCGTATTCGTATTTTATTAGTATTCGTTTTATTCCTAGTTGTACTTTCGTATTCGCTCTGTTTCTAACTGTACTTTCGTATTCGATCTGATTCTAATTGTACTTTCGTATTCGGTCTATTTCAAACTGTACTTTCGTATTCGTTTTGTTTCTAACTGTACTTTCGTATTCGCTCTGTTTCTAACTGTACTTTCGTATTCGCTCTGTTTCTAACTGTACTTTCGTATTCGCTATGTTTCTAACTGTACTTTCGTATTCGCTCTATTTCTAACTGTACTTTCATCTTCGTTCAGTTACTATCCGAGGGCGTATCTTATTAGTATTAATCCTAATTGATGATTAATATAAATTATTCATAAATTATGAAATATAACATAGTTTATAACACATTATCAAGAAATCTATGATTTGTCTGAAGGCTAACTTTGCAATTCGAATTATTAGTTAACATAGTTTTCGATGTTAAAAACATACAGAGTATAAACATTTGAACTGAAATAATAAGTTTGAATACAAGATTTCCTTGTACTTTTCCTTGTATTCCCCCCCCCCCCCCACCGAAAACATTTGAAAAACACGGAATGTGTCGGTTTGGATGCTAAACGTCCGTTCGGGGCTTACAAACGTACAAGATTCCTATGTAATATGAATAGATACATAAAATGTATCTAATTATGCCTTGATATACTACTTAAAATGAATAAACATTCCGAGGCGCGAAAACACTTCAATTCAAGTGTTTGGAGTGACCCGCGTGACATCTATGGACATATATGACTTGGATATGGAGTTTACTCTTCAAGAGTAAACTCCTAAGAGAGTTTACGGCCCTAATGAACCATTCCCCATAAGTTTACGGCCGTAAACTCATGGTGGGGTGTTCTAAGGTGCTAAATGGTCTTATATCACTTGGGAAAATTAGCTAGGATCAGATCTAGGGTATAGGAATGAATTTTACCAACATATGGACCATCTAATGGAGTTTACGGAAGTAAACTAAAAGTTTACAGCCGTAAGCTCCCCCGAACACCTTCCTTTGATGTTTTGGTGGTCCAAGGTCATTTATAAGTGATTCCAAGTCATTATACAAGCCTTGGGATAAATTTAGGGCATCATTTGACTAAGATATAGGAGTTTATGACCCATGAACCTATCCTTGGGGGGTTTACAGCCGTAAGCTCCTATGGGGATGGTTTTCATCAAGTTTAAGGCCTCTAACTCGTTTGTGGTTGCTTCTAGACTTTATTCGAAGGCTTATGAGGTGTTTAAGTGGCATCTTAACACCTTAAAATGAGTTTACTATCCAAGAAATAGTGTTTACGGTCCAAGCATGTGCTTGGGCCGTAAACTCATTTTTATACCATAAATGATGAGTTCAAGGTGTTCTAAGTCCAGTTTGGTAAGCCCTTAAGTCATATCTAAGCTCCAAATGTGGTTTGGAAGGGTTTTAAGGCTTAAAAACCCCATTTTCATGTGTTCACGGCCTAAGGCTGTTCCAGGGCCGTAAACAGATGTTTATGGTCGTATTCCATGATTTGAACACAAAATTGAAGGCTAAAGATGTTATACTAGGAGCTAGGATAGTTACCTTGAAGATTTGCGGCTTGAATTTGATGATTTTGGACCTAGAGCTTGGATTGGAGGAGAGAGAGTGGAAAAGGCTTCAAATGAGGCTCCCTCAACTTTATATATGCTTAAAGTTTGAGACAGGGTGGAATTCTACCTGATACTGATGTTAAGCGAGGCTTTTGGTCACACCCGATTAAGTTGTCATAACCCGATATGATTGAAACTAAATTTTTCTAATTACTAGATTGGGGCGTTTTCATGAGCTTCTAACGTTTTTGGATACCAATTAAGTTATAATGGAAAACTCAAAATTTATGACTTAATTTAAAAACGAAACGGAAACAATTCAAAACGATGAATTTTTAATGATGGAACTGTAACGACCCAAATTTTCAAATAAATCTAAACTTTTCCAAAAC